ATATATATATATATATATATTTGAAAATTAAATAAAAAGTGTTTTATATATATATATATTTCTAGTTATAAAAGAAATAAATTGTAAGAGAGGAATATCTTAGATAAGACAAAGAATAAATATAAAATTCATTAATTTTAAATTCTAATTTATTTGGTAATGAAAAATTTTATTGAGAAGCCTTTCCACTAGATTCTTTTTCTTATTGGCTCCTGCACACGTACTGACGCAGAAACGCTTGCTGCGCGGCAAGAGCAACGCGGTAACCAATCAACGTGTCGCTTTCCCGTAAGACCAATAGTTTATTAGTTACCGCGTCGCAGCTTAAACGCGCGGCAGGGTATACCTACGCGCAGTACGCGCGCGGCAAGCGTTTCCACATGTGTGAGCCATGCGACATGCGAGTGGTCTTTCTTTGGACTCCGTCTTGAGACATGCTCCGAGTCGGACGTGTCTAGTGTACTCTCTTCGGGCGGATTCTATCCGATTATTGATTATATATCTGTAATTTAATATCACTCGCTTCACATATATCCTGCTTTGCGCTTCGCAATATATCCTGCTCCGCACTTTGCATGGGAATGCTTGCACGTGTTTCTGGAATGGTTTGGAGGAGCACATGACGCAGGAGTATTGGCCGCTTGCTTGAGAACGCTGAGGACATTCTGTGAGCTGACGAGCGAGATAACTATATGTCTGTTCTTTATATGTATGCCTTACACCTTTCTATAAAAATTTACTCCAGATATTTTTACTCCGTTTTGCTATTATACTTTGGGATTATATTTTCGTTTTCACCTGTACTTAGGCTCCTTACTTAATAACAAAATTTCTCATAAGGAAATTTCATCTCATCTTTTGTATGCTTACATCGATATTGATGCGGGGTTCTTGGACCGTATTAATAATGGATCGGGCAGTTTTTACATGGAAAACCTGGCCGATCTAAACTTGAACTTGTCATTTCTATCAAAGTTCAGAATTGGCAGGAGAGATTTTGGAATCATGGCTCGTTTGCTTGCTGGTTACCCATATACTAACGTTATTAAGTATAAGTTTGGTATCGGCGAATCCCCCTCATGCCCTTGTGGCTTTGAGTTGTTGATCACTTATTCTGGGCATATATGTAACCTGTTTGAAAGTAATAGATCTAGGTTTTTACGATCTCTTTTTGACCTTAAACTCTTGGCTCCTTTTTCTTGCCTATATTTATATAGTAACTTAAATTACAAGATTGTTAAGGCGATACTCTCCTTTATTAAAGATTGTGATCTCGGGCTGTAGATACGTGCGCATGGCACATTTTTATTTTTGAATAGTTATCGACCTCTCAATTGGTCACAGTAATAAAATAATCGGCTTGAAGCCTCCTGTAATTGATACAAGAGGGCTCCAGTGCTCCCCGCCACTGGACCCGCTGTCTTGTACCTAAACAAATTTAGCCCCCCCAAGTGGATTATTGATATATTTTTTTTTACCAATCGTTTGGTAGTTGATTGGTAGTATTTGGTACCGTATTCAAAACGTTCGGTAGTTTCTCGTTTTTCTAGGAAATCAAAAACAAATTTTTGATCTTCTTTTAGCCCCCCCACTTTGACTGTGGTAGTTTTTTAATCGATTGGCGATTGATTGGCAATGTTTGGTACCGCATTAAAAACTTTTGGTGGTTGCGCGTTTCTTTAGAAAATCGAAAAAACAAATTTTTGATCTTCTCTTAGCCCCCCCACTTTGACTGTGGTAGATTTTTTTTTTTTAATTGATTGGCGATTGATTGGCAATGTTTGGTACCGCATTGAAACCTTTTGGTAGTTTCGCGTTTTAAAAAGAAAGAATTAATTGTCAACAAATTTTTAACCTTCTTTAGCGCCTACACTTTGACTGTTGGGAATTTTAAATTCTTTTTTTACCAATCGTTTAGTGGTTGATTGGTAATGTTAAGAGCTGTAAGTTATTGAAAATTTTATTTTAACATTCCAGTTATGTATAGTGACGATTGCACACATTGTGGGCATTCAAGAGCGCATACGTATGTACACGCACTAGGCTCTGGGGTCACATGCGCATGCTCTAGGGCTTAAGCGGGGCGCACACACTTCTGCACAACGCATAATGCGTAAGCATAAGAAAATTGATTGGTCTATTTCCTTATGCACATGTGTATAGACCAATCAATTTTCTTATGCTTACGCATTATGCGTTGTGCAGAAGTGTGTGTTCCCCGCTTTAAGGTCTATCCAGACAAACTTGCATAGGTGCATAACCATATGCATAAAAAAACGGATTGGTCTATTTTCTTATGCACATGCATATGGACCAATCAATTCTCTCATGCTTATGTTTATGCGCTATGCAAGTTTGTCTGGATTGACCTTAAAGGCCATCGCACACAAAATTGCATAGGCTGCATAAGCATAGCATAAGACCGCTGGACCAATGAGCATC